TGAAAGACAACGTGTATAGGCGGGCAGCAATGGCCAATCATCTACCCAAAATCACACTCGGGGATATAGAGGGGTTCGATCAGTCTTGGGGGGAAAACACCTCGTACGTCCTACGCTTTGAAAACGGTGTGTACATACGGCAGCCTCTGGCAGACGCCCTTAGAGAGCCCAAATGGTTGCTCAACATTACCCTCACCACACCTTACGTCTCTTTTCGTAATGGTGGACCTATCACTAGGGATATCGAATGAAATTAAGAACAGCGGTATCTTGCTCGGGGGTTTCAACCGCTGGGCCCTCAAAATATGAGAATTTCCCCAAACCCCAAATCGCCGGGTTACATGTTAGATACACCGGGACTACACAGTTATCATTTGGAATATACGCTGGCCTACCATTTTCTAGGGATATGCCTCCAGGCTCCACATTAATCATAGAACTCTTTTAAAAACGACCGTGGGCCTTCCTTATGGGACCTTTTATCTGGGGTGAAAATAAACTTATCTGTTGGTTCATTTGAAGGCAACCATTGTAGTATCGTCATAACGATGGGACTCGGGCCCCAGTGAGGGGTTGTTGCCCCCTTAATAAGCCCCCTATATTCCGTGATAGAACAAGAGTTACCTATTGACATTTCCTGTATTTTCCTACCGAGAACGAGGCCTTATAGGCCTCAAGTACATTGATCAACTGTTAACTGAAGCCCAATTAAAAAAAATATCTTATAAGATATATTATATGCACACAGAATGGGGCTGTACCCAGTCGTAGAGGAAGTCGCGAAGACCCTGGAAACCGTGAGATCGGTTCCGCTTTGAGACAGTTATGTGATGTAAAACGCCAACTAGAACAAGACCGCGGACACGGAAAGCACTATATAAGAAGTACCATAGAGCTTTCAATATCGTGGACGGACTGATACTGCCCTTATGGCAACCAGCATGGGACTAGGGGCTGCAGGCAGGTGTTGGGTTGATAGCCACCATCGCGGGTCGCACCTATAGTGCTAGGCATTGAAATAACAGCTGGGGTTGTAGGGGTGGCAGGGTTGGTGTTTAAGTTTGTATCCCGCAGACTGCATCGTAAAGCGTTGAAACACGACGAGATCAGGGTTCTGGCGGAAGCAAAGCTGAACACGGTAAGTGAGCGTATTTCCACGGCACTCACTGACAGTAAGATCTCAGAGGAGGAGTTTCATTCAATCCTCTCTGAACTTGATAAGTACCGTAAGATGAAACAAAAAATCAGGTCCAAGTCTCGTAAGTCTGCTATCAGCGAGGACAAGAAAAAAAAGTACATAGAACAGGGGATACAAAAAGCCCAGCAAGCCTTTATTACAAACACCAAAGAGATCATAGGCGATTCACATTAAACTGTTTCATCGAGGTCAACGTGGCATAGCGGTACAGTAGTGCCATGTGGAGCCGGGAAATTAACGGGGGTTCAAAAGTAGTAGATACAATGGTGGCGAGATCTAAGGGCCTAACAAAAGCTTTATTTGTGAAATAAGGCTTTGCAGAGGCTTTTGTTGGACTTGATCCCGTACCGCTATTGTATATACTACTTAGTTTGAGCAGGGACACGTGGACGATTGGAAAATGTTTATGCTGGACATGTCGAAAGGGTTTACACTCGCCGGTACCGAACGCTTGAATGATTCGATTCGAACGTACGTGTGGGCGCTGGTGGGTGCGCAGACACAAACACATTCCAGCATCGTGGGTAAAGGGACTGCTTACGACGCGCAGAAACAGTTCGTGTCTAATGTCGAGGATGCTATCCATGCTCCAGTCGATTTGCCGAGTGCCATCCAATAAGCCCGGTCGAAAGTCGACTACGTGTTCGGCATGGGATTGTATATGGCCCCGAGTGACATGCAACTGAGAATCCATGTTGTAAGTTTTGACTGACCATGTCGGGTCGGTGCCTCGTTTCCGAGTGTCCCCTTCATGTTCTCCCGGATGGTAGAGGTACCTCACTAGGACCCGGCCCCGATTTCTCGAAACAAACTTAAGTTTTTACTCAAATTACAAACTGAGTTTGAGATTTTGACTCAGCTGAGTTTCTAACTCAGTTGCGTTTCTCAAAACAAACTCAGGCAAAACTCAGCTGAGTTTGTAACTCAGAATTTGACATCGATCTGAGATTATTTTTTATACGTGGTGTAAGCGGCCATGGCGCGGAAATCAACTTCCGTTTCTAATGTAAACACGGTAGAAGTCGTCTGCTAGCGAAGTCGTCTACCGATAGGAAAACGGCAAATGATGTTGAGAATGACTACCAGCGGATGGAACCAAACGTAGGGCCGAACTGGACCGAGGAGGAGCGGCTTACGTTAGTTGATGAGGTGCGGAGGAGGGAGGAACAGTTGTTCGGCAAATTTCCGGGGTGTGGAGGGAAGAGGGGGGCGGCGATGAAGGAAGAGGCATGGGAGGAGGCAATGGCGGCACTAAATGCGTAAGTTACTTTTCGTTGAATGCACCCGTAACTAAATTTCCATGAAAAGAATATGATAAATATAACCAGAAAAAAACGTAATCGTGCATGGATGTATCTGACACCTGTGCAAAAACTGAAGGTGAAAAACTAGGTCAGCAGAGTGCCGAATTAGAGTTACCTGCCCCGTACATTATGACTGCAAGCTTTTTGCCCACGTTAATATTGGGTCACGTTAGTCAAGGTTTTGCAGATTTGTGCTTATTCCTAATGTGTGTTTTTTTTGTCTGGTAAATAAAACCACAGTATAGATTTGTAAAAATCTACTGTGAAAAGTAGTTGTACCAAATTCATAAGCATGAAATATGTTTTACGAATCCAGACTGTGGTATCGACGAGTGGGTGTGACCATGCAGTACCGTGCCAACATGTATATACATGTATAATCAGTCTCACGTTTGTTTTTACAATAGGAAATCGAGTCAAATTAAACGGACGGTAGAGGAAGGGAAGAAACAGTATGCGAACTTGAAGCAAAGAGGTATATCATTATACACTTTCTTTATGAAGTTGCTTAGATATTTAAATAAACATTTTCACGCCTATTTGATGATTATAATGACATTAATGTCACAAATTAATTCTGTAAGAAATATTTTATATATATGTAATGTAAACCGAAATGATTAAAATTTAATATCTTTATCAATACCTTGCAAAATATTTTCAGCAAAAGAAAAGAATGATGCCATCCGTCGGCCCAAAACAGGAGGAGGGCCCAAACCAGCTTCCCAAACAATGCCAGAAGCTGCCATCCTGGAGACTATGGGGGGAAGGGCAACTCTGAGTGGTCTAGCAGGAGGCATAGACACTGAAGGTATAACTTATTTCAACTGACTTTGGGCTATGAAAATGGTATTTGCTGCATCTTGTGTAGTTTTAACAACACATAAACACATAACTCAAAATAGAGCAATGATTTGTATTTCTTAATTGCATTGATTCACATAAAATATTCATAAAGAGTGTATGAAAATAACACAAAAACATGACTAAATCTACATATTACATGAAGAAACATTGTTCCTAATTTCACATTATTCAACATTTAAAAACTGCAATTTTCCCTCAGATATGACTATATGTGACCAGGCAATGTTACTATTGGAACAGAACACTTTCTTGACCTAAGTTTTTTTTCATACTTTAGCAGCACAAAAAACTTTAAAAATATAAGCCAGTTTGTATATTAACAAGGTGTTATTTGGAAACATAAAACATTAACAATGCTTTATTTAGCAATTTAGCTTCATCACATTTTCCTACTATAAATGCCATTTCATCATAATATTAATAGTAGTAATAGTAATGTTCATTTATATGTAGCTCCAAACTCCACATAAGGTATGCTGACAATGAATAGCACAGCACACCTCAGATAAGTGCATTCAAAAATACTGTTTCACTTTCCTCATGAATGTATTTTCAGATTTTGATGTAATTCCTTGTGTTTCGGAAGAAGAACCAAGTGTGTCCATGGACTTCACTGATACTAATGAGCATGGTTTGTCCACACTTATATACCATTCTTATACTTTATCCATTAAAATAAACTATCAAATGTGGGACACATTTTTATCGTACCATTACATGTTAATGTACTAAAAGATAATGGTCTTTTTAACCATGACATACTGACCAATCAGACATTGCAATAATAATAAATTGGACTATTCATCTCCCAATAACTACTGTATTATCTGACAAACAGATGACTATTTACATAAAAAAATATATATTTGACTTTTTGTCTCATTTCTAAATTTATATTGTGATTTATATGATTATAATCTGGCATAACTGATATGCTATTCTATAGCAATTCTTTACAATAATAACTGTTGACAATTATTTATATTACAGTTCTTCAAAGTGCAATAAATTTCCTTGTCATGGAGGACAGAATACTGCAGATCCCAACTATCACTGCTGGTACTCCAAAATCAACCACTGTTGCCACTACTACTACTGCTACTCCTACTGCAACTACATCTACAGCTATAGCTACAGCTACAACTGCGACAGCAAATGCCACTTACAATTCCAATGTTCCGCCAAAAAAGAAGCTAAAGCTGCAACAGCAGGAAATACTAACCTTACAGGCAGAGGAATCCAAATTTAAATGTGAAATTGTTAAATTAAAAGAAGAAGCAGAATTTTTCAGGGCAAAGGTAGCATTAATTAAATTAGAACAGGAAAAGCTGAAATTAGAAATGGAAATACTAAGAAAACAGAACCGTATTAGTGAAGAATAATTGTTATGGGTGCCAAAAATGAAACATACAACTTTATGGATGAAATTTTCTCTTTACTGCATAGAATGATGTTTTGATGTAGTTATCTTGCTAAAAATGACTAATATTCAGACACGTAATTGTTAATCAAGGGAGATAATCTGTCTTAAGTTTTTCTCTGATAATGTACATTTCTATTCATTACTTGACCAAATATGTTAAACACAGAATGTTCTCATGAGATATATTGTTTAAGCTGTAATGGAATATCTAACTAAAACACTGCTGACACAAGTGTTTTCGAACATTGTTACCAGTCCAGTCATCAGCTATATGGACACTGACATTTGCATTTGTCTCAATATCAACCTGTTCAACATCTATTACATGTATATCTTTTCTATCAATGCCAATATTATGTAGAATGACACAAGCAGTTACTATTTTGCAGGCATTTTGAGGTGTTGTCCTTAATCCACTATGTAAACAAGAAAATCTCCTTTTCAAAATTCCAAAACTCTGCTCAATCAAAACTCTGGTTCTACTGTGACTTCTGTTATATTTCTCTTCAGCATGGGATGATGTGGTTAGGAATGGTGTCATCAAGTAGGACTTGCATGGATATCCTGAGTCTCCCAACAGTAATCCCTTGTAGGTACCTATAACATATAACAAATCACAATCTGTGTGGATGGTTCTGTTGACATTCCTATGTAAATTTGCAAACATGAAACATATGAAAATAAGAAAAGAAATCCTATGGCTATTAATCTTTCCTTCTGAAGTAAGAGAGAGCAAGTGAGTTTAAAATCTTTAACATTGTAGTTAAACTGTGGCCAGCTTAGCCTATCAGTGTAAAAATTGAAATGGCCAAGGGCTGGAGCAAAGAGTGTTGTAAGCATGCAGTGTTGTTATTACTGTAGTTAAGACTGAGAGTAAAGCTTAGTATTTAGAGCTGGAAGAATAAAATTAAGTAAAAAATAGTGGTGGTCCGATTAATTGAAATAATCGAATATTGGTCGCAATGACTAAACGACCAAGCAATCAATGTTTTCTCATAATCAAACATTAACAATTTTGGAACATTTGTTTGCATTAACATTATTTTTTACAAGGTTGGTTTTGTCTGTTACATTTCATAAGCACTTCCAGCTCGTTTCAAGTCATGACTGAATTTATTATAAAAACTCAAGAAAAATAATGTTCCTAACATACAAGTCATCCTTTTAAGATGTGACATTTGCAAATGCATTTTGTGCAATTAGTTAAAAAATGTATAAGAACTACATGTTTTCTACTCTATTTTTTGTGCATTAACAAACATATCCAGGAAAATTTGAATAATGACGCTAACCAAATATTTTCGATGATTGATTGGTTGTAATGAACCAATCATCAGTTAAGAGATTCTAACCAATGCCCAACACTATTAGGAAACATAACTAAGCTTCTAACATTTTATCATATAAAACATACCAAGAGTCTAACAGGTGTTCTTTTTGTTAAATATAGTAAGTAAATGGAAACGATGTCTTACATAGGGATGTAATGATACATAAGTTTCATGAATCGATATGTAACCTGATACCCATGTCATGATTCAATACATAATACAATACCCACTTTCGTGGCATTATTGCTTAAATTTAGTAACATTTTGAACATTAATGTTGAAAAAATTGTCCATGAAAAGATCAACATGTTTGATTCTTAGAGATAAAAAGTTCTAATTTCCCATCTATGTGCATGAAAAATAATCTTTTATAACCCTCGAACATAAAAAAACATGATACAATTGATAAATGTAAATATTTATAATATTTAAACCAATATTTTTAAACATAAATATCAATACAATTGTCAATGTATCGATAATTGTATTGCCTTAGAAAAAGTATCGATGCATTGATGTATCAATGTGTCCTGGCATCCAAAGTCATACACCTTACTACTTCATAGGATGTACCTAATATTGTACCTCATCTTCAGTAAAAAGCTATGTTCATATATAAAATGTACCTACTATTAATTAAGAAGAACAGAACCACAATTAATATTTTGTTTGAAAAAAACTCTTCAAGAGTTATTAAATAAACTGTGTTCTTCAAACAGTGTCATTTGGTATTTTGTTTGTTTATACAGTGGAAGTTATGTTATTACAGTTGCTCTATGAAGTTATACCATTTTCAAACGCAATGCTGATTCAGCTGTCTCTGAAGATGCGACTGTCATGGACACTCCCTGGCCACTTTGCAACACAGTTGATGAATTTGTATCTCGCATCACATATCATCTGAAAAGTAGTACTATGTCAGCTTAATATAACAATTATTATTTGAAATCAGTAGGTCATTGGTCTTGACTGTTTTGGATTTACATTTGAGCATACAAGTGACGGAGTTTAGTTTTATGCCAGCGCTTTTTAGCAATATTCGAGCAATATCATGGCAGGGGACAACAGAATTGGGCTTCACACATTCTACCAATGTGGTGAGGAATAGGGCAAAATTCAAATGTGACTTAAGAAGAATTGATATGGTGATAATCTACATTTTGGTGGTAACAGCATAGGTAATGAAATATGTTTTTTTTAATGCTGAAAGTAATTTCATGCATTGTACATGAGAAAAGTAGTGATTAGTAAACAAACATATTACCTGAACATTGAGTGAATGAAAGCCTTTCCTGTTCAAATAGTCTGCTTCATTCTCAGATGGTGCCATTAAACGGATGAATGTTCCATCCACACATCCCAGAACATTGGGGAATCCTGAAAAGTACATTTTCCATAATTCACATTTTTTTGATAAATTCATATATTATACAATTATTATATAGACATTATTGTATCATTCAGTTTTGGGTGTGTGTTTTTTAAAAAGTACATCAAGGAATATTTCTGGTTCTTTTCAAGTTTATAAAAATATATTTTTATCATATCGTATGGGATATGTCTCTAATGTTTAATTTTTTCCCACATTTGCTATATCGTTATGTCAGTGGGTCTTACGGGGATTTGTAATACGAGTCTCTTCGTTTATGCATGATTACATCTCGGTTCATCGGAACTAGAAATGACAAGATTGAGAGTAGCCCCCCTTTATTTGACCTAGAATGAGCTTTGCTACGAAAGGAAGGTAAAAGCAATCAAATACACTCACCTGCAATTTGAAAGAACTGTTTCTTGGTCATGTCGGCATCTTGTCCGCTTGGCATACGTATGAAATGCCGGAGATGTTCAATGAGACAAGAGCATACATCCCTGACTGACCGAAACACAGATGAGGTGGAGATGGTCGCATCATTATCGGCGATTAATGAATAAAAGACCCAGTGGCCAAGAAACGCCAGAGTGACTAGAACTTGCGTTAAGACAGGTAGTGGGTTGCTTCGGTTTGAACACCGCTCGAAGTTTCCCGCAAACAAGTGAAACAATAAATAAAATACTCTCAGCACGGAAACGGAACCGCAGAAAGAGCTCCTCTTGTGACATAACCTCGAGAGGGTTCTGTCTGTCAACTAATGATCTACTCAAAGTGGATTTACGTTTCGCTCTACGGCGTCTACGTCTATTTATCAGCGCCATTTTGTGATCAACAAAAAACTTAAGTCACCTCCCTACCAAACTCAAATTGTCAACTCAGTTTGAGTCCAAAATCGAACTCAGTTTTGTTTGAGAAATGCATTTTGCTGAGTTTTTGTCAAATTTGAGTAAAAACTCAGACTTAAGTCTGAAAACAGACTTAAGTTTGTTTCGAGAAATCGGGGCCCGGTCGGGTATCTGTTTCTCCTTCCCATGCAATGGTGCAGCCGGTTCGGCCGTCACTGATTTCAGTTTGATAGCGTCGGCCGGTTTCTTGCCGGTGAGCCGAGTGGTTTCGTGGTTGATAGCCGACACCACTTGAGGTAGCCGCGCTACCCATTCCGTCGATCGTTTTCCCGGGTTGGCCATCTCTCTCGCATACTGATGCCCGAATAAGCGTTCGGCCAAAGTCCGATTGAATCTCTCAACTATGGCTTGACTGCGATGAGCCCCGGCAGCGCCACGCCTGACCTGAACGCTGTGCTTGGCTAGCAGTTGTGACATGACACCCATGAACTCCCGTCCGGGATCGACTTGTAGTTCGGTGGGCCATGTCAGCGGGCTGCGCTTGTATATGCGTTCGAATCCGCGGGCTACCTGGGCCGAGCCTTTCGCAGTTAAGGGTTCGGCTTCTTTGTAGCGGCTGGCCACGTCAACGACGGCATACTTGTACCTCTTGTCGTGGGGTAGGAAAAGGAGGTCGGCCTGGTGGACGCTATTGGGTACGGCAATGCCGAACTTTCTTCGAGGCACGTAGCGTGGTGCCGGTAAATAGATCTGCCACAGGGCTTGTTTTTCAAGCCACGCTTTGGCCTCGTCCGGGGGTACTCTTGCCATTTTGGCAAGCTTGTGTATGGCGCTCGCTCCTTTCCAGTACCCACGCGGGCTGTAGTAAATAGCTTCAAACTTTCTCTCTTTCCGTGACATCGTATATACACCTATGTTCTTGGTTCAATTTTCTCATGCCCGTACGCGTACGTGTTGATCCCGTCGATGGCTATCCAACGCTTCGTGTCCATCGGCGACAGGGACGTCTTGTTTATCGTCAGTCCGTATATCCTGTGTCCTTCGCTTGTTCATCTGATGCTTGAAGGTGGGGGCCCTGAACAGGGCCTCCTTGAACCTGGCGTGTTTGATGTGTTGTTTCACCACGTACTTCTTGACACCCTTTGCCTTACGGATCTCGCTATTGTCGGCTTTCAGGATGGAGTACATCTTGGGCCTCAAGCCTATGTACTCCGCTATGGGCGTGCCAGCACACTCGTCCTTCATCTTACCGAGGACCTTTTTGTTAACCATGCTGTGCAAGGCATGGTCCTTGGGGTAGTCACTGGTATCGTATAAATGGATGTGTTTTGCCATGTCCTCGTACACGTCTTCGGTTCGAATCTCCATCAGCAGGGAGTCCGTGTCCGTGTACAGCACTTTGCATCTGTCGCCGTACTGCTTCTTGAGCTCGTAGTAGAAGTCGTACATTAGGTGCTTGGAGAGGTCGAGGATGCTCATCCCCACGTAAACAGGTCGGTTGAACTTGATGTGGCTTTTCCTCATGTGCAGGGCCACCAGATCGTCGGTGAATATCTTGCTCTGGTTGAATGCCGGGCTGGCTATCAGTCTCCTGAGCTTGTCTTCCTCTTTAGACCGGACCAGCTTCACGGTCACGCATTTTCGCAAATTCCTTATCGTCTTACCGAACACCGAGTTGTTCATGAGCTTGTAGAGGTTCTTCTCGAAGTCACTGGTGGCCAGCTTTCGCAGGTCCGTGTTCATTCTGATGTAGGGCTCCATCCACAGGCTCTGGTTGAACTTGAGCACCCTATGGGTTTTAGTCAGCCTCATACCCAGTGACAAGTACAGCTGCAGGTTACGATAGTGAACGATGTACTTGGTCTTGTTCATCAAATTGGGTGCGAGTTTTTCGACGTTGGCTAGCTTATTACCCCCCACCCTCCGTTGGTAGTCGGACATCCAGTCCGGGTTCACCATCAAACGTTCTGGGGCCAGGGGGTAGCTGTTGTGTGACTTATGTAATGCTGTTGGGTACTCCAAGTCAACTTCGAGTATGTAACCTACCCCCGAATCCGGCGGTATGCTCATGACGTCTATCTCAGGCACCCACTTGAACCCCCCAGTGGGTAGATACTGGCTCATGGCCCAACAATACAGGTTGTTGGCGTCGAGATAGAGGAGATGATTAATGGGTTTGCTAACATCGTAGCCCTTCACGTACTTATTGTTGGCTCTTGCGTACCATTTGGCAGCCATGGAAATCCCACCTCGCAATCCTTTCTCGATGAACAGGTGCATGTTGTAATCGGTGAGGAGTTCCAGCTTAACTCCGGTTTTCTTCAGCAAGGCATCCCAAGAGAGACCGGGGCTGGTGTAGTACCACACGGGGTCGAGTTGATACTGCTTGAAACACGTCTTTCTGAACGTTTCGAACATGTCAACCAGCAGGAGTACGTCCGTTCTCAAGTACAAGTCGTGGTAATCGCCCAGATTCTTGCAGCCCAGCTTATTCCATACGTTAATCGCGTGCGAGTAAACACCCTCCGTGATGGCCGAGTCGGTCAAGTTGCTGTAAAATTCCCTGATGGGGGGTAGTCGGGTCTCGGCAAACTTGGCCCAGCCATCCATGTACTCGTAGGGGTAAACACCCTTCCTCATCAGCAGGGGCCGAGTCTCGGCGTCGGTGTATCGATCAGTGATGGGGAAGGTATTGTTGGATTTGACCAAACTATCGAGAGACGACTGTAGGAACTGTACTGAGTCTATGAACCTCAGGCCGTTCACAGGCCTGCATGATCAAGTGAGAGTTGTACCCTCTCAAGTTGTGGAAGACCACGGGGATGTTTATTGTTTTGGGGTTGATTCTGAGCTTGAGGTTACACGCGCTGTGAGCGGCGCCTCTGTACTCCCCGGTGATGTGACAGTGATCTCTCAACGAATCGCCGTTCAGCGGGCCGTTACACATGTGGCAGTGAGTGCTGCAGCCGTGAGCTCGCCGGTCGGCTTGGGTCATACGCATGGGGACGACATTGTACAATTTCTTCCTGATGGTTTTCTCTTCGTGCTGCAAGCACTTTAGAAACTTTTTAGCCGCGTCCGGACCCCTGTACACCACGGGGGCGTTTGTTTCCCCATCACATCGGACGACCACGTATCCGAACCCACAGGCCTCGTGCTCCTGCGTTTTGTATTTGTTTGGAGCCGGGCCGATGTCAATGGGTTTGACGAGGGCTTCAAAGTCGGCGTAGATGATGTAAGGTACGGACATCTGGTTCTTGTGGTTGTCGAATTTTAGGATATTGTCGCCTTCCTTGGGCATGTCGATTCGTATGGCCGTCTGCCCCACACCTAGGCAATCCTCCCGGTGGATTCCAGCAGGTCGGGTCGGGTGAAGCCGTGCAGGCACCGTACGCAAAAGTGGCTCTTTTCTCTGTGTGCTGATTGGTCGTACAACAGCCTGCTGATGTGTTTAATCCACACGTAGTGGTACTTATCACCTCGCTGGATCATGAATATATTGACCACGCGGCGACCCTCTATTGGGCTGATCCTGTGCACGATTGTTTTGTTGCCTTCGTGCCCAAAGACGTTGACGGCTACATCATTCTGTTTCTCGATTTGGTGACCTGGGATATGGGGGTGGGTTCGTCTATACCAGCCCAGTTGAGCCCATCATTTTGGGGATAGCTAGAAGGCATGTTCGAATTAACGTTGGCTGGAAACAAGGCTGACCTGATCGCTAACCTCATGCAATCGTCCCCTCTGTTTTTGATGTTGACCATGGCCTTTTTTTTCTTGTAGTAGGGGTTCCAGGGTCTCTAGTATTTGTTGAAGACTGGTATCGATGGACGCGTCTATAGTCTCGGCATGAGTCACGACTTCTTGTTTACCCCGGAAGTAAGGCTGAACGTACTCAAGGACACCATTCTGCTGTTTATCGAGCGACATCTTTGCCGTTATTTGAAACTTTAGACTTCCCAAATCGTTCAGTTCCTCATTAACTTTGTCAGCGATCAGCGGCTTGACGTCGCCGATGTCTATGTTCTTATCCACATGCATGCGCCAGCCTCTCAGATAGTTACCTACAGCTTCAGGGCGCACGAATTCTAGATCAACGACTCTGTGCTGATGTAACAGTTCAACGAGCTCAGGCTTCCTCATATGGGAATAACCTACTAACCCCAGCTCTCGGGCTTCCCGTTTGAGTTGTTTCACAGTGTGGGGACGTACGGGG